GAACTGGGTTACATGATCCTTCAGTGATAACTCCAAGTTTTCAGGGTGACTTTTTGATAGATGAAAGATGGCCACACTTTATTTTCCTGCTTCTTGTTATGGGGTAACGTCCTCTTCCCTTTAATCTGGGCTGGAGTTAAGTGGTTTGTTTAACCAATATAATGTAGTGGACTGACATTCTCAGACTTCTGAAGTGACGTCTTAAAAAGCAGTGCAGCTTCCAGTTAGGTCTCTGGAAACTCACTCTAGAGAAAGTATGACAGCGCTGAGACTGTCATGATGAAGGAAAGCCTAAGTAGCCACAAGGAGAGGATGTATGGATGGGAGAGATGTCTCATCTGTCCCCAGCTGTTCCAGCCATTCTGTACCAGGTACCAGATATGAGAGTGCAAAAGATTTCAAATAACTCTAGCCTTAGCTTCCAAATGTCTTTCACCATATGCAGAGACCCAAGCAAAAACAACCCAACCATGCCCATCAGCCCTCAAAACCATGAGACTTGATATTGAGGTAGTTATGGAGTAATAGCTAACCTGAATAGGTTTCTCATAATTTTCTTACAATGACAGTGTATTTCTTGCCAATGTAAAATCCATTGAAAATCCAGGGGACCTGCAGGGGCAACAGTTCTCCGCGGGGCATTTTAGCAACCTAGGCTTCTCTGGTCTTGTAGATTCCTAGACTGTGTCTTTTCTCTAAAAGTTTGACAGTAGGAGCTTCCTGCTTCCACTGGAGGGTCTCACATTAGAGATTAAATGATTCAGTCTTCAAGTGGTATATACATAACCTTTTGGCTTGCAGCCCATTAGCCAGAACTTTTACACTGCATAGGGGGTGTAGAAGCATACTCCTCTGCAGGCTGAGAAAGAGAAGGGAATTGGATAGGCATCTATCACATTCTTCCTCTCTCTCTCTCTCTCCTGCTATAGTGTCCCCTCATCACAGTCCAAAAAATTCCTTTTCTGGGTAGGAACGTATACTTCATGTGACTATAGCTGCCCCACAGTATCACCATTCGAACTGCTCTAGTGGTAAAAGCTCTTTCTCCCAGTACCAGGGACCAAACTTCTTAAAATTGTCAGTAGGTACTTTACACATAAAAAGGATTGAGCACTGATCTAGTTCCCTATTGCTGTGTAACAAATTACCCCAACCAAATCTTGGTGGCTTAAAACAACATTTATGGGGCACCTGGCTGGCTCAGTCAGGAAAGCATGCAACTCATGATCTAGGGGGTGTGAGTTCAAGCCCCATGTTGGGCATAGAGCCAACTAAAGAAAACAAAACAAAAACAAACAAAGAGAAAAACATTTCTTCACACTCTCTGTGGGTTAGAGGACCTAGTTAAGCTTGTCCCTCTGGCTTTGGGTCACTCATGAGGTTCAGTCATCTCAAGAGGAGAGGAAGGATCTGCTTCTAGGTCACTTACGTGGTTATTCATTTGCAAGATTAAGTTCTTCCAAGCTTACTGAATCGAGGACTCAGTTCCTCATGAGATGTTGGCTGAAGGCCTCCTTTAGTCACATGGAGCTCTCCATACAGAGTCTCAGAGTGAGCAAGCCAGAGATAAAGAGATGGAAGTTCCAGTTTTTGTAAACTTGTCCCAGAAATGATATCCCATTATTTTTGTCATTTTTCTGTTTATTAGAAGTGAGTCACTAGGCCCAGCCCACACTCAAGGGAAGATAATTACACAAGGGTCTAAACACCAGGAGGTAGAGATACTGGGGCCATGTGGGAGGCTGCCTACTCCTTCACCCCTAGGAGATGGGTATTCTGCTATGTGGGACACACAAAGATAAATAAGGCAAAGCACTAAACTTTGGAGTAGTGGGGAAAGAGGGTCATAAGTGCATGTAATTATAATACAAAAGAGGGGTGTGGCCAAGTTATATGGAAGAAAAGCTATTGGATCTGAGAAGAAAGAGCAGCTAATTCCCTATGGCTATGGAGGTAAAATGTGAGCTACATGATAGAGGCTGAATAATGATTCACTAGGCTACTAGAGAAGAGGGTTCTGAGCAGAATGAAAAGCAACAGGGCATACAAGTACATTATTATTATTATTATTATTATTATTATTATTATTATTATTTTAGAGGTCATGGATATAATGAGACAGTGGCTGTGGCATCATTACTGCTGGGTACCCCTCCCTGCTCTTCTGGGAGGTGCTAGTCATGCAAACTAGTTCTTTGGCAGGTTCTCGCTGCTGGGCCATGGACTCAGAAAGATCCACACATGATTCTGTCGAAAGACTTTGTCATCCAGAATGGGTAGGTGAGGAAGGGTATTGAAAGAGGAGATAACTGGAGTGAAGTTACAAAAAGGGGCAGGCAGGGAGCTAACTCTTTGCCCAAAAAATGCCAGCATACCAAGGTTTTCTATGGACACAATGACTATAACTAGATTAATGTGATGTTGATTACACAGTAAATTCAGGAATGGCCAATATCCTGTGACAGAAATGTGATGCATGGGTGAGAAACGTGCAGATCTGGGGAAGGAGACAAGGACACTTGGATTTTAACTCCCTCTTCAACCCTAGAGAGAAAAGGGAAGCAGGTTGTCAACGTGACCTCAAGTCACACTCCCAAAGACTTCAGCAGATTCCTGATGTGCCTGGGGAATGGGGAATAGAGCTATGGGGCAGAGGATTGTGGGAATGGCAGCATGCAAAGTGGACAAGACTGAAGCTGGATTGCGAAGGCTTTTGTGTACCATGAAAGGCAAATTTGACATTAATCTAGGAAAGACAGACTTAGAAGTGTTATAGTATGTTGTTGCCTCCAGATAACAAGACATAAACTTTATTAATCATACCATGTTCTAGGCATTATATTTACCCCATGTAAACTTCACAGCCACCTTATGCGGAGGTTCTATTATTACCTGCATTTAAACAGAAACCCTGTGGTAACTAGTTTTAGCCCCAAGTCACATAGGTAAGAAGTGTCAAGGCTCAGATACCAATCACTGGACAGCAGTTGCCTTTACCCTGTTCTGTGCAACCCTTTTGCTCCTTTGCTCCCATACATTCTTGCTATATTTCTTCCTACTGACTTACTCTGAAAGCCAGGAATTGCAATCCTTGAATACATGTCTTATGTTAGAAAGAGAAAGAGCTTCAGCAATGAGTTTCCTTTGTGCCTCCAGATACTCTCTTTAACTTTAAATTTTGCAAGTTTTCCAGCATACACAAAAGTAGAGAAAAGCAAAAATGAACTTAGCTTCAGCACAGATTGGATGTTGTATCACTTATGTTTATCCATCCTATTTCCATCCCCCAAATTTTATTTCTGGAGTATTTTTAAGTGAATTCTAGACACCAGATTGTTTCACACATAAGTATTTTACTATCTGTAAGCAATAAAGACTTCTAAAAATATAGTTATAACACCGTTATCACACCCAACAAAATTAACAAAATTGTTATTTCTATTTTTTTTAATTTTTTTAAATGTTTACTTATTTTTTGAGAGAAACAGAGCGCAAGCAGGGGAGAGACAGAGAGAGGAGGAAACAGAATCTGAGCAGACTCCAGGCTCTGAGCTGTTAGCACAGAGCCTGACCCAGGGCTCGAATTCATGAACCGTGAGATCATGACCTGAGCTGAAATCAAGAGTCAGATGCTTAACCAACTGAGCCACCCAGCTGGCCCCAAAATTGTTACTCCTTAATAGCAGATTCTATTTTTAAGTCTTTTTTCTACCAATCACATATCATATACAAAAGTTTCACTGAAAAGAATGATAGAATTCCTGTGTATGAAATTTCTTTTTATAAGCAAAATATTTTCTAATGAGTTTATAGGATTGATCTGTAGGCAATAACAGTGATTCTTAGTAACATTTTTGCAAGAACATTTTCCAAATTTACAATAGATTGTAAATGTCTTATATTTTTATAAGGGCTAGCTCCACATAGAATTGAGATACTACCAATTAACACCTTATTAAAGTAAGATCTTCTCTGAAGGCAAAATTAAACCTATCTCTCCTATAAGTACTGATTGGAGATTGATCTCATATGCCCTGCAGTACTGTTAGTTTTATAGCGGTCTTTGTTGTAAGCCCAGGATAGAAATCACACTTTTTCACCATGTATTGACCACATTACTCAGTTTTATGCTTTGCACAGCTAGCAAATTTTTATAAAGCACACTTTCAAAAAGCTCAGTCACCTTCTAATTGTAACTCAGTCATACATACTCAGGGTGTGGTGATCTCAAGGTATAGATGCATGTAATGTGTATCTGCAAAGAAATTTGGAAATCATTTAGGCTACTTTCATTTTAGATCTGATGAACTGTAGCCAAGAGCCGTGCGAGACCCATGTAATTCCAACTGCCAATAGTCTTTTATTCACTGACTCATTTTATGTTAGTACTCATGTTTTAAAAGTTTCTTTTAAAATTTAAATTAATAAAAGATACAATTGCAGAGTCCGGTTTCACTATTACCTCCAATAAGGTAGTGATACTTCAATATACACATGCAGAGAGTACTTAAATTTTCCTCTCCCTTCCAGCAAGAGGCCATGGCCAAACACCCTCCCATCTTCTCATTATAAATAGGTTTACTTTGCAGTCCATTCTTGTTATTCTCGCTGCCACTGAATAGGGGGTGAATTTTTTAATTACTGGCCGCGATTCTCTTTAGAAAACCCCACGCGCGCCAACCTCAGTACTGGAGCCTGGGTGCATGAGGCGCCTGTTCTAACTTAGGCAACATTGGGTCATCTGTTTATTTTCGGGGGGGAAGGGGGGAGTGGTGTCAGAAAGAAAGGGCGGCCGTTGCCCAGGCAACCGACACCCCGGGCAACGGCAAGGGGAGGCGGGAGGGGGCGTGGCCTCGGCGGGACCAGGCGGATAAGAGGCGGCGCTGACTGCCCGCCTTCTAAGCTGGGACTGTTCTTGCGGCGGGGCGGAGGCGGGGCGGCCCGGCACCACCTCCGACTACCTGGAAAGGCCCGGGCTTGCGAGCTAGCGAGGCTCCGGGCCCATCGCTTCCTCTCGCCACGTCCCCTGCCGAGGAGGCTCGCTCCACGCGCCAACATGGCGGGCGGGCGCTGGGGCCCGCTGCTGACGGCGCTCCTGGCCGCCCGGGTCGCGGTGGCGGAGGAGGCCGGCCCCGCGCAGGCCGCGCTGCCGGAGGAGCGGAGCTGGGTGCGGCCCATGACCGCCTCCAACTGGACGCTGGTGATGGAGGGCGAGTGGATGCTGAAATTGTGAGTGTGCCCGCACGTCCCGCACGCCACACTGCCCCCTGGGCCCCGCCCTCCCAGAGCCGCGCGGGCCGCTGTGGAGACCGCACCGCCCGCTGGGCTCCGCCACTGCTCGCCCCGCGGCCCGCCGCGCGGGGGCCGGCTGCTCACGCTGCGCATGCGCGCCAGGCCCTCCGCGGTGACAGCTGCGGGTGCGGAGCATCGCGCCTCTCTCCGCACCCGCCGCCCCCCTCGCCTGCTAAGCCCCCTGCCTTTGGTGGTGGGGGCGGGGGCAAGAGTTGAGGGATGGGGTGGGCAGCGTGCCAAGGGGAGTCGGGGGAAATGGAGGAAATCTGTGAGAAAATCGCGTGCTTTTGGTACGGGTGTGTACGAAGAGAAAAGGGCTGCCATTCAGTGAAATTAACGCGCAGTACAAATACTTAGCACGGGCTACGCAGGGTATTTGTTGAATGGATAATTACAGACCGTGAAGGGCACACGAGCTAGTGCAAAGTATTTTGGTTTTCATTTTGAATTCTCCGAGATGTCATTGTGAAAAATAAAACAGGAAGATGGGGTGTTTTTGAAGTTTTAGAACAAGATTTCAAATAAATATTGATATTCCTTATCATTTTTAGAGGTAGAGATTTCTGGGTAGATAATTGTGCTACTGTAATAAAGAAAGGGACATTAGTACATCGCCTCTTTTGAACAATAGAAGGTAAACTGTGGATAGTGTCTTTGCTTGAAGGAGATGGGAAAATACAGTTTTGAGTTAGGAACAGGCACATGGCTTAAAATTAACTTCTAGGAAGAAAGTGATCCTTTGGAAAAAGCCTTGAAGGAGACCATGGGAGGATGTTTGAACAGGCTTCAGAGACCATCACGGTGAGCTTGTGGGGAATATGAAGAACATCTGGAGAAATGATACCTTATCTCCTTAGACTGTAGTTTCAGATCATGTACATACTTGATCACTACTGTTTGGCCATTAATCTTACCTTGAGGACCCAGACACACAGAATTGGATCTTTCCTTTATTTGTCCAAGACCACATTTTGGTTTTCTCAATTTCGGTTGCAAATAGATGCGTATGGAGAGAAAACCTCAGCGTGAGATTAGGGCCCAAAGTTACAAGTCTCTTAGCAGATTACGCTGTTCAGAGAACATAGTACACATTACCCCTTCAAACATGCATTTACCTTTTGTCCACAAAGAAGGTGATAGACCTGAAAGTAAAATACCTTTGGTGTCATAATGAACCAGTGAAATGATTAAGGAAATATGTAGTCATGAAGCACTTATTAAACTACTTAATGAGTTTAGTATGAGGAGGATGAAGATGAAGAGGTCATTTTCCATTTAAGAGAAGCTTTTCACGTAAGTGGAGCTTTATTCAAGACTGTCATGTTTGTAATAATTGTAAGATTTTAGACTGCATTTTGTCAGCTAGTACTACAAAGAGTTCTTTTTGAAAGTAGGTGCTTTTACGGTGGAGCTTTCTAGATGCCAGTTTTCTGATTAAAACTGAGTTTGTGTATGTACATGATGAAGGTCAAAACAGAAAGGCCTCAACTCCTTTATAGCTCCTTTTTGGAATAACCATCTCTCTATTTTTTTTTTCTTAGTAAAAGAACTAAACAAGCTAAAGCTCAGGTGAGTGTAAGCCATGTGAAGCTTGTAAACGTGCAACAGCCAACAACTCGTATGTTTGGCTACGTCGACTGTCAAATTAAACTTTTCATAAATGTTCAAGCCCAGACATAGTAACCAATTGCTCTAAACTTGCCATGTGTCCATCACATGGAATATGTTGGGCTGTGATGAAAGATGGGACTTAGAACCCAGAAGTAAGCTGTATTGTGCCTGAGATCATTTTAGAAGTTCCCTTTTCATTGGGTACACTTCAGAATAAGTCACTATGAAGGGAGGCTCTAAAGGAAAGATTTAAACCATTGTATCCAACTTTTTTCTACATAACAGAACCTAAGTCCTGAAGAAATATTGTTGCTCTTATCTGTTTGTGATACCCCCTTTCCTCCCTTTCACAAAATTGAACACTTAAAAAAATATAAAATTCATTATATTCTCAACCACTACAGGCCTACCATAAATTTCTAAGAATTCACTCAAATAGCCTTATCAGAATCTTTTTGCTGATGTATAGAACAGAGAAAAGCCAAATGTGTTAATACTAGCTACCGTTTCAACACTTTTTTCAAGTAAACAGATCATAATAAATGGAGATTGTGAGGGGTCTACAGATGATGCATTTAACTTTTCTAAAGAAGCAATTAGGAGACTTTCTGATAGTATGAAAAATTTGACATTACTGTGAATGACATTTATTTGTTCATTTGCTTATATCCTACTTCTCTTCTGGGATTTTTTTCTCTCATATCCCACTTCATACAAAGCTCCTATAATACAATTTTTGGTTATATTGGTATTGATAATTTTAGTTGTTTTTAAGGACCTAGCAGTGTTTTCTGCTCCTGTTATGAAATTTAATTTGTTATATTTTATTTGTTTTAAAAACAGTCAATTTTTTTGGAAACTTGCAATTGAATTTTCAGTGTTTAAAAAGCACTTCTCTGTTAAGGGGAAATATCAGTTAAAATATATATTTGTAGTAATTCACCATTTCAATTCTGAAACCTTTTTTTAAAAAAATCTGAAAAATTATCCCATTATTATTTGCATTTTCTTTAATGCTTGTTGTATATTCAGTTTTTCTCTTCTTGTTTGCTTTCATATATTGTTTTATAATTTTAATCCCTATTTCTGCCATGTCTCTATGATTGGCTTGTTGTACTTTTCTAATCCTAACCTCTGATGAAAAGTTTGCCCTTTCTCAGGATTAGGAAAGAGTATATATAATCCTTAGAATACCTTCTGAAGTTTTCTTTTTTTTCTATTTCCATTGTTTCATACTATCCTTTATTCAGTTACTTTGCAACCTTTTACTATTTTAAACTTTTTTGGTTCCCATTGTATCAGTTCTTGAGAATACCGCTTTTGTTCTTTTGACACACAAAAATGTACATTCTATATATTTTTCTGGTGTTTCCCCCCCCACCCCAAAGAAATAAGTAGATATCCAAGTAGCTTAATTTTGATCTGCTTTCTTTAAAAAAATATTTATTTTATTTTATTATATACATAGTGAGAGCACAAGCAGGGAAGAGGGGCATAGGGAGAGAAAGAGAGAATCTTTTTTTTTTTTTTTTTAATGTTTACTTATTTTTGGGAGAGAGACAAGAGTGTGAGCAGGAGAGGGACAGAGAGAGAGCGAGATACAGAATCCAAAGCAGGCTCCAGGCTCTGAGCTGTCAGCACAGAGCCCAGTGTGGGGCTTGAACTCACTATCCATGAGATCATGACCTGAGCGGAAGTTGGGACACTTAACCAACTGAGCCACCCAGGCGCCCCAAGAAAGAGAGAATCTTAACTGGGCTCCACACTCAGCATGGAGCCCAACTCGGGGCTCGATTCCATGACCCTGGGATCATGCATGACCTGAGCTGAAATCAAGTCAGACACTCAACCAACTGAGGCACCCAAGGAGCCCTGACCTGCCTACTTTTAAACTGATATTCAGAAGAAAAGTATATCTTTGGGTTAATTTACCTCTGTAAAGCTTATAGATCTTTATAAAATACTACCTTTTCTGACTTGATTCTAATTTAAATTAGTCACTGTGATGGAGGGAAGCCTCATTTATATCCTTAGAACCTCTAGGTTTTAGTACTTTTTTTCCAAAATCCTTCTTATTCCTGAAGAGAATGCCTTCAAGCAGCATCACCTTAGCTTGTCAGATAGTCATAATTTTTTGAAGTTTAATAGAGTATAGTGATGTGTGGATTGAATGTTTAAGAGATAGTCATTAAATGCTTGTTATGTTTCAGGTTTAGACTTGGGGGTCTTGGAAGATGAAAATGAATGAACGACATTCTTTGATTTCAAGGGACTGCCAATCTACTGTGCTCTGAAGGAAATAAATAGCAGATACAGCATTCATTTATTTAGCAAATGTTTCCTGAATGCTTCTTCTCTGTCAGGCATTCAGCAGTGGTTCTCATCAGGGCACTGTTGGCATCTTGGGTTGGACAGTTCTTTTGATATGTGGGGATGGCCTGCCTGTTGCAGAACCGTTAGCATCACTGCCTCTACCCATCACATTCTAGTGTTCATGTGACATCAAAAACATTTTAATCATCTCCATTCCCTATGCACATTCCCAAATGTCTCTGATTGAAAACCACTGCCCTGGGTACTGTTATGGGTATTTAAAAACACGAAAAAGAATAGCTCATAAGTGAACATAGAAGTATTTAATTTCAGATTGTTTCCACAAAGGGTTATCCACATTATCACCTCTATGATCATCATCATCTCAGTCACAGTAAACAGTTACATTGCTTCCATTTCATGTCCTGAATGCTGTCTTATTTAATCATCCCAGCAATCTGGTGCAGAGTTAGCATTCTCATTAACTAGGGGAGATGAAACTTGAAAAGGTTAAAGCTTTGGCCAAGGCCAGATCCTTAGGAAGTGATTGGCAAGGCCAGAACTAGAACGCAGGCCTGAGCTTTGCAGTTCCTGCTGCAAACCTAGGAGAATAGCGGGGAACTAGGGGAGGAAGGTACAAAGCCTGGCCGGTTCATGCTTAGGCTGTCAGCTGGCCAGCACCATGAAGGGTGCACTATTAAGGGAGGCCTTTTCCCTGTGGGATTCAACGACCCGCCCATGGTTTTATCGTCTCTAGATTCTCCAGATGAGGAGCATTATTGCTATATGCTCATTCCTGACACTCTTCACCACCCAAACAGGTGCTCTGCCTTTTCTGCACCCCAACCACCCAGGAAAATTCTCACTTTGCCTTGTTTGTACCTAGCCTGGCCCTTATCACAACTCATAATTATATATTAATTTAAATGCTTCTCTGACTCTTCCTCTAGACAATAAACTTTTCAGTAGAGAAAGAAATTTTTTCTTTTTCCTGTTTATCTCCAGAGCCTTAA